ATTAAAAAAATATCCGGCTTCGTGTAAACGGGGCCTAAGTCAGAAATGTGCGATCTTTGATAAGCGGAATAAAATATCGAAATTAAYGACATGCTTAGCAAAAATATGTCATTTGTAGTACTATTAATTAAACTTAGATGAAATATGCTTTTTGATAAGTGGAATAATATATATCTCAATTAATACTATGCTGAGAAAAGATATGTGCTTTGCAGAACTGTGGTCATGATACCCTGTGATTAAATATGTTCATCTAAATTCTATATATAAAGGACAAAGATTTGCTGTCATAATGGATTATTATTATTATTAATATTATTATTATTATTATTATTACTACTATTATTATTTGTTATTCAGCGCCACAACGAGCTGCGCGACCTCGAAGCACGACTGTTGAGCATGGTCTGCAATGACGTTAAAATAGAACCAGTCCTTCAAGAAGTCACAGGAGAAATCCTAGCCAGAGGTTCTAACAAAGCTCCTGATGCTTGCCTTGATGTACATGCACGTGGCCTTTAGGAAAGCGAGACATCTACATTATTCGACGTTAGGGTGTCACCCAAATGTAGTCTTACAAAGAGCTCGATCCCCAGCAAATATATCGCCTGCGTGAAAATGAGACGAAGAAGCGCATGTATGCCAGCAGAGTCTTAGAAGTCGAACAAGCGACTTTTATGCCTTTAGTATTTACTAAAACTGGAGGCATGGCAGATGAGTGTAGAAGATATCACAGTAGGCTCGCCGAACTATTTTTGCAACAACTGTATCCTGGATACGAGCAAAGGTTTCCTTATCCGTATTGAGATAAGAAGATTGAATAGGAACTTAAACTTGATTTTTTAGAGCTAGATCATTTTTCTATATATATTTATATATATTTATTTGCCATTTTTTTCTAATATATATACATATTTTAGGATAGATTTTTATCAAATATAAAATAGTTATCGATTTCTTTAAAATTATCATTATTATTGTTAATTGTAATCATTTTATAATTTATAAGTGAACTCAATAAGGAACATTTGAGGAACTACAAGTTTTAATATATTATATTCTATCATTTAT